AAAAAAAACTATTACATACTAAAACTATACTTCCCATCGAATTTTGTTTTGAAATTTTCAAACATCTAGTCCTCCCACCACCCTCATACAGACTGTTGTCGCTGGGAAACATGTAGAGAGGTTGATGCTCAGTAAATCTGTCGTGGCTGTAAGTTCTCATGTTGGCGTGATGTGAAGTTAGAAAATGGCGTGCTAGCTCAGGTATCATCCTCTTCACTAAACTGTGTGGTTCAAAATTATGTGGTCGTAAGCAATAACTCTCGTTACCCGTTAAATGTGACATTAATAATAAATACTCCCTCACTCATAACTCTCATGAAAATAAAAGACAAGAATTTTTAATTTATTATAGAAAACTATATTTTATAATGAAATAGTCCCTTTCTTCCCCTCCTCCTACAACCCACTCAAAACCATTCCCAAATACACTTAATTTCCTATTTTTTACAAGACAATTACGTTCCTTCAAAAATCGTGTGAACAGAAATCCTGCAAAAATTAATGCGATTTGTATAGCAATAAAAAGGAATACGTTCCACATGCTGACCAGCAGCCATGCAAGATGAAATTTTAAAAAAAAAACAGTATTTAATTCAAAAAAGGTTAGAAAAAGTAATAAAAAACAATTATGTAGATTTTCAGGTCTATGCATTTACTTTTATATATGTTTGAGATAGAATAAAAACTTTCTAAATAATACTAATTTTCTAGTCGCTACATTTTTTTTGATAATAAACGCATTTATTTACTGTGTGAGATGAATCACAAAATTGCGTCCTCTCTAGAAACACGCACCACAGATGCTTGAATGTAATGCAGATTTTCGTCCGGTAATGATGTTCAGGGAAGATGGATTCTTTTCTGAAATATTTTGCGGTGTGAACTTTTTTTTCTTAAATATATTATTCATCTTTTTACTTATTTCACTGATTTGGTTCTGCAAGTTCTTTAAAAAAATCTTGGTATACAGCTAAGCAACTCTTCAGTGCTCGTTGAAATTTTAGGGGTATTTTTAGGGAGCATAATGATCTGGAGAATTTGATTTAATGAGCTACAGAAATCTTCCATTCCATAAAAATTGCTGGCTGTCATTAAAATAATGTAATGCAGCTAATAATATCAATATTTGCTAACATTAAATTTTATTCCACATATATACAAATAACTTTAAAAATGTGTACACACACAGAGAGAGAAAATGAGAGCACAGTAAACCAAAACTTCTGAGTATTTAAAAAAACATAGTTATACCCATTTCACACACAATGAGGAACTCTGTTGAAAGTTTGCCAAAATATTGAAAAATAAATATCATATGTCAGCACAAATTGTATAATGAAATTAAACAAGTAATATAAAAAAAAAATTTAAGTCAATTCCTACTTAGGTCAACAAAGAGAAATTTTATTTTAGTTACTTTTTATAAATAGTTACAATTAATATAAATAAGTATATATATATGACAGAAACACAATATTAAGTGACGGAATAGAAAGCGATTTTCCATTTTACCTTCTATTTATGGTGTTGGACTATTTTTAGCGCGTTTTTCACGTAGTGGAAAAAAAGCGCTATTAGGACGCAAATTTCGTCTTCGTTCCATATTTTGTCGTACCTTTTTCTCAGCCAATAAGCAACCAATTGACCTCGGGTTTTCGGCATTTGCTCGCATTTGTTCCCTAGATGAGCCGAATTATATTTAAATTTTCCCACAGTTTTCCCGAATTTTCCTACAAATTTTCCTGAATTTCGCTAGAGCACAAGACACAATCATATATGCTCGCATTCCCGAAGAATTAACAAACAAGCAACATTCAGAGGCAATCATACAAAATAAGCACATCGAGATGACTATATGCACCTACAAAGGAATCAATATAATCAATTTATATCGCAATCCAAAATCTGACTGGGAATTCTTCGAAAACTTCTTACATCAACACGCCATCTGGTTTACTAGTTTGAATGTGATCTTGTGCTGAGATTTTAATGACAAAAATTTGACTAATGTTCTTAATGCAAACGGTACATTAAGAACATATTTGAAAACGGAATTTGACCTCGACATGCTATCACCACCTGAACCCCCAACAACTGATTCTGGCACCACTATCGATGCAATCTTTGAAAAATTGACTGGCTACACCATCAGTGTTTACGTATACGAGTCATTCTTTTCATTCCATAAGCCTTTGTTAGTTAAGCTAAATAAACTTTAAGTAATGTAGTAGTTAAGTTATTATTAATTGTATATACTTTCTGTTGTTAAACTTAAAAGAATAAATACGTATAAGCGAGTTTTATGCCTAGACAAGGAGTTTAGTCACCTTGTCCGGGCTTTTGTAGCTTCTGTAAAAAAAAATTTTTTTGCTTTTTTATAGTGCTGATACAGATTTGTGTCATTATTTCTTTTCCGCTCAATAGTAGTACATTTAGAGGAGTGGTACAGTACTACTTTCTGTTAGTAAAAAGTTCATTAGTTGCATTATTGTAAAATACAACATGGGAAAAACGCGCTAAAATTACTTGGCCATGCCAATGATTGATATCTTGTTTTGGTTTGTGACTATTTATTTATTAATTAAATTTAATTATTTTAATAAAATAGTATAGTAAAAAAGAAATCCCATTCTCAGAAACTAGGCCACCCCAGGTGGGATTCGAACTCACGATCTTTGAATTAGAAGTCCAAAGCGCTCGCTATCCATTGCGCTACAGGGATACAATGGACGATTTTATTTTCTATGCATGCTGTTGGACTATTATTTTTGTTTGTTACTATTTATTTCTTTTTAAATTTAATTAATGAATTAATATTCGAAAAAACTGTATAAACATCAAGAGTCCTCCACTTCACGTTTTAATAAAATGTGTTTGAACTTGAATGGACGAATAAAAAGTATTTTATTAACGATTGAAAATTTGAACAAGATATATATATAGGGAGAGAGTGAACTAATAGTAGGTATTGAAAAAAGAGCTCTTGGGAACAAGCCTCTCTTTCTTAACCAGAGTCAAGTAAAGAAGAAGCATCTTATTTGGCATTCCATTTTCATACTTTCACATCACTCCACCATGAAGTCTTTTTGCCTCGATTATTGTACCTTGTATCAGCATCTGTACAGGGTCAGTTTGAAGTAGATTAGAAGGGAGCACTTATATATAAAATTGCAATAAACTGGGTTTTTTCCTACCAAAACCTTCTCAAATATTTGTATTTAGTCTTCCAAGAATATTTTTCGGGTTTTGATTCTTATTTGTGGGCTACCGTAGACTTCATTTACAATTAGAAACGTTTCTAATTCTCAGCACTTTCATGAAACAAAAAGTTACGCTATTTCGTATAGAAATGGATTAAAGTTTATATTCTTCATCACTTTGTTTCCATAAGATTTAATGTAGATCTCTTTAAAAACACGAAATTTCTAGTATTGATAAACAAAAAAATTAGTTCACTGACCCATCTCATTCAGAGATCACAAAATCCCGGATTTAGTAAATCTTTTCTCGAATTTCAAAGAAATTTCGCGCAAACAATATCAAATAATAAGGATATAAATTCTACACGTGCACATAAACTCTCTCTCTCGATATAAGTTCTATTTGTCAGAGCTAAAAGAAATCCTCATGTTAGAAAGGTGTAGGTATGAAGCTACGGTGTTGACATCGTTATCTAAACCTGCTTCTCTTTTAACACAATAGAGAGGGAAACTTTTTTTAAAAATTTATCTCGGAGAGATATTTAACTAAATTGAATAATAATGTATTCATTGTCTTCATTTGTAATAGTAGTAACAATTTTTTAAATGCACTTTCTCTTCGTCTGGCGCAAATTTTGCCCGTATTAGGCTTTCCGTCTTAGTGACGACACCAACAAACTCAGAGTGATAATAATTTCGAGGGGTGGGGGGAGAGGATTGATGTCTTAGTTGCTTCTTGCTCAGACATCATTTTTTATTTCTTCGATCTTTCCTTAAATGCATCCTTAAGACGTTTAAAAAGGTTGTCTTGAAGTTTCGAACCGTGTTTCTTGACGTATACAAATGAGGATTTCCATACTTTAATTCCATTCGAATATTTGTGAGACAGTATGATTACATATTTTTTTCATTGTAGAATTATATATTTTTTTCTTTTTACCCCAAAAATGACGTTATTATGGAAAAATGGGGGTATTTTTTTAATGTTGATATGCAATGCACATTATGGAAAAATGTTTGATTGTCTCTTGATTTTTCAAAATAATATTAAAAACATGAAAATTACCCTGCTTAAAATAACAGGAAAAATATTCTTAAGTAAGCAATATAGTGAAATACACTCAAAATGCAATATTTATATCGATAAATATATATTGTGTTAACTTTAATAATCTTTTGGAATATATGTTACAAATGTATTACAGTTGTGCACTTTGTAACAAATATATATATTATGTCATAGAATATATATTTAAAATGAAACAAGCTCGCGGAACATATTCTGAAAGTAATAAGGTAGCATGTTTTTTTTAAAAATAACTTCGAATATTATGGGGTAATGGAAACATGTTCCAAAAATAACAGGATATATATTAGGACGCTGATATAGTGGTTGATATAGTATAGTGGTTAGCAACGCTGACTGCTGTGCCGTAGGGCCTGGGTTCGAATCACGGAGAAGACATGGATGTTTGTAGATGTATAGTGCCTTTGCGGCATGGGGGTACTTTAAATAACCGTCGAGCCGCAAGTCCTCTCGTGAGGTTGGTGGAAGGGGAAGAGAGGTGGGAGGCCCCTTCCCCAAGGTGATCTTCCTCAAAATTGGGGTGGAACCGAGCTAAATCGTACTGTCACCTGAATGGTGCTACGGCCAACGACAGGCGTATATCTAGCGCCTTGATACCATGATGATTTTCGTGGGCCTGAATCTGACGCAGTCGAGATCAGGTGGCATAAGAAACAACAACTAGACTGGAACTATTATGCTGAAATCTATTACATAAAAAGATCAATTTGGTTCATTTCTACTCGTATTTTAAAATACAACTTTATGTTGTGATTTTTCTCACAAGTTACATCCTATACACGTGGTGTGGTAGTTTGCAGAGGCAGTTGCCGGCTCAAGTGTCGTTCTCGTCACTTGCCCGAAGATCAAAATTACGAGGTCGGTCGCCAACAGCCCTTGGGTTTCTTCTTTATACAGCGACGTAAGCAAACTTTCACGCAGTCACAAGTTACATAAATAGGCAAAATGTCTTTTTCTTGGAAATAAATATTATGGCTCATTCCTCCATCGTAAGCAAGTCCCAAATTTTATTCATGCTTAAGGTATCCGACTACCCTAAAATCGGGGATTTGGTCAAATATTGACAAAAAAATTTTATGATTCTATTTTGTAGACCAACTTATTAGCTTTATAAAATTACCAAGTTTTTTATTTTTCGTTCACTAGAACAAAAGTTACAACTGTTTTAGTACAAGCAGATGACACTTCCAGTTGGTAACTGCCGACCGGAAGTGGCATTCTGAAACCGAAACTGAAACTTTTTTTGGTTTCTTTCCACTTTTTCAAAAATATATTTTGAAGTAAAGTATATTTTAATATTTTGTTTAACGTTATTAAGAAGCCTCACTTATTTTTTTTATATAAAAGGAGTTTTCAAATCTGGCAATTTCAGGATATTTGTTTATTTACTTCTTAACGTTCCATATCACTGCTAACTTTTTTCATTCAAGTTTTTACTGAAACAGGTTCATTTTGATTTTCGTATTTGATAAAACTGCTTTTTAATTCTTCAAATATCTGCCATGGGACATGGACGAAAAATACGTCCAAAGAATCGAAAGTTTAATGGTAATTTCCGCACTGCTCAAAAGAAAGTTAGTGATGCAAGTATTAGTACAGAAAAATTGGGAAGAGGATTAAGCGACACTTTATTTAATGTTGATACCGGAACTCTTTCTGGTAATAGAATTTTCGACATCAAAATACTGGTATCAATATTCTCTATTCTTTCTTGCCCTGTTTGTTTTGATCAAGAACTGTACTTGGTTGAAGACTCAAGACTTGGTTTGCAGTCAAATTTGTGTCTCAAGTGTAAGAAATGTTCATTTTCAAAAGGATTCACTTCTACATCAAAGGTGAATAATTTAAATACAGTAAACCTTCTTCTCGTCTTTGGAATGAGAGTTATTGGCAAAGGATTTTCAGCTGGAAAGAAACTGTTCAGTATGCTGAATATTCCTTATCTTTCAAAATGTACATACAGACAACATGAAATTAAGTTGCTGCATGCTACGTCACAAGCTGCAAACAGTTCTATGTTGGAGTCAGCAAAATCCATTGCGGAATGTTCAAATGAGTGTGGCGTTAGTGTAGATGGTACATGGCAAAAACGTGGCTACTCTTCACTGAATGGATGTGTTTCGGCAATTTCTGTGGACTCTGGTAAAATATTAGACATTGAAGTGCTCAGTCAATATTGTCGAGTGTGTACAAAAAACGAAAAAACATCGGGACCCTCCAAAAAATGCGTAGTGTCACATTTTTGTAAAAATCACAAAGGATCAGCTTCTAATATGGAAACTGTCGGTGCTTATAGGATTTTTGAAAGGTCTGAAGCAAACCGCAGTCTTCGATATACATCTTACTACGGAGATGGGGATTCAAAGGCGTTCAATAATGTGAAAGACATGTATGGTATTGAGAGCATAACTAAATATGAGTGCATAGGACATGTGCAGAAGAGAGTTGGCTCTCGTTTACGAAAGTTGAAGAAATCCACAAAAGGTTTAGGTGGGAAAGGAAAATTGACCGACAAATTTATCGACACACTTCAAAATTATTTTGGAATTGCTATTCGAAGTAATGTCGGCAATTTGTCTAACATGCAGACTGCAGTCATTGCTGCATTTTTTCATTGCTGCTCAACCGACAAAAAACCCATGCATGGACAATGCCCTTCTGGATCCGATACGTGGTGCAAATACCAAAAGGCCAAGCAAGAAGGAAAACTGCATAACCATAGAACACCTGGCTTACCAACTGCTGTATTGAACACGGTGAAAAACACCTATATGGATTTATGTGATCAATCACTTCTCAAAAAATGTTTGCATGGAAAGACCCAAAATGCCAATGAAAGTTTTAATGGTGTTTTGTGGAGCATAATCCCAAAAGAAACTTTTGTTGAACTTCTGACATTACAATTTGGCGCATTCTTAGCTGTATTACAGTTCAATGATGGATCAAAAGGGATTCTTTCCGTGTTGGAACATTTACACATCCCAATGGGTTGTTTCATTGTGAAGGGCTATTCAAGCGTTGATGACGAAAGAATTGTCGACTCGGAGAGACATTCATTGCCAACTACAAAAAACAAGAGAAAAAAACTCAGAGGACTTAAAAAAAGGAGCTGTGCATTATCTGAGAAAAAGGAAGGTGTTACGTATAAATCTGGGGAATTTTAAACCTGTAGGTAAGTATTAATATTTAGAAAAAAGTGTTTCAAACTTTAAAATGTGTTTTACACGAAATGTGTTTTTTTGAAAAAAATCAAACGGGGACAAGGATTGCTGAAAAAGTTTCTAAAATAATTTACTGAAATTTTTTGTGTATGTTCTGTATAATAGTAGAATTATTTTGATCTTCAGATTTATAAATCACTGCATTATTACAAAATTTACAGTCCCTTATGTGAATATAACCACTGTTTTTTTAAGCAATTTCGTATAACAACTA